TTTCTCCTTCATATTAACACTGGTTGGTTCATTTTGTTGTTCGTTATGGCTGCCTTTTAGGTTTTGCAAACCCAGGCTCTTGGGTTTGCCCGAAGGTAAAAGAAAAAAAAAGGCTGGAGGAGGGAGAAGCCGAGGAAGAAGACGAGGGTATATCAGTAATTAAAAGTAAAAAATTTAACATGTCATTAATTTTTGCCACGTGGAAAATCCACATAATTTAATAAAAAAAAAGAAATGAGTGTTTCCGTTAATTAACTTGCCACATCAGCTAAAATTTAACGGAGGAACTAAAAAGGGGCCGGATTTGTGAACAGTAAGGACCAAAAAGGGGATTTTTTCAGTACAGGGACCAAAAAAGGCCTTTTTCTTGTAGTAGAGGGACCAAATAATTTTCTTTAAAAGTGAAAATACATCTCAACGAACCTACAAAGTGGGTTGGGAAATGCTAGTAATCTAAATATAAGAAACTTGAGTCTTGGTGCAAACTCAATGGCTCAAACTTGGAGATGCAAACTCAAAGTTTTGTCATCAATGCATCAAAGGCAGATGGCGTAGAAATGAAATTAACTACTTGGAGGTGGGAGGCACCAAACTAATGGAGATCACAAAACTAAAGGAAGGTGTCATGAAGCACTTCCAGGAACTATTCACAGAAGATGATTGGGAAAGACCAATATTGGAGGGAATTGAATTCAAGAAGGTCACACTTGAGCAAAACATAACGCTGACTACACAATTCATGGAAAAAGAGGTAAAGGAAGCTGTGTGGGACTGTGACAGTTCAAAGGCCCCAGTACCAAATGGATTCAATTTTGGGTTTCTCAAAGCAATGTGGGAGATAGTGAAGGATGATGTTGTAAAATTCATTGAAGACTTTCATACAAGTGGAAGATTAGTAAAAGGCTCAAATGCATCTTTCATTGTTCTAATTCCAAAAAAGGAGAACCCAGTAAGAATTGAGGACTATAGACCAATTTCGCTAATTAGATGCATGTACAAAATTATTGCAAAACTGCTTGCAAACAAAATGAAGAAGGTGATGGAGGGGTTGATAAGCGAACAACAGTCAGCATTCATACAAGGGAGAGAGCTTATGCATAGTGTAGTTATGGCCAATGAAACCATCAACGAGATTAAGAAGAAGAAAAAGAGCCTCATCTTCAAAATTGACTTCGAGAAAGCCTACAACAAGGTTTCTTGGAATTTCATAGATTATATGTTGATGCGCATGGGCTTTGACAATGTTTGGAGGAAGTGGATTATGGAGTGTCTTCACTTAAGCACAATCTCAGTTTTATTGAATAGTAGTGCAACAAAGGAATTCAGTGTGAGCAAGGGCCTGCGACAAGGCGACCCTCTCTCCCCCTTCTTGTTCCTTTAGCCACTAAGGGCCTTTCAAAACTATTAGCATCCGCTGAAAGAAAAAGATTTGTTGCGGTAGGCTTGAAGGGGTTGAAAATTTCTTATCTCTAATTTGCGGATGACACTATCATTTTCGAAGAGGCCTCGGAAAGAAATGTCAAGGCATTTAAAAGTATCTTAAGGATCTTTGAAATGGTTTCAGGACAGAATCAACTACAACAAAAGCAAGTTGTATGGAATGAATATAGAGGAGGAAGTCTCTCAACATTGGGCCATATTCCTGAATTGCAAAACGGGTAAACTACCCATGATCTACCTGGGCATGCCAATTGGAGCAAGTTTGACAAGCAAGGACACATGCGTAGAACTGATAAGCAAAATAGGGAAGAAGTTGACTGGCTGGAAAAACAAGTTCTTATCCTTGGGGGGGGGGGCGTATTGTCATCATAAACTCCATACTAACTAGTCTTCCTATCTTCCTTATGTCTACTTATCTTTTACCTACTGGAGTGATAAAAAAAAATGATGCAATTAGAAGGAAATTTTTATGGGGTAGGTGTGAGGAGAGAAACAAGATTGCATGAGTAAGGTGGGATAAAGTTTGTAAGGATAGGAAACAAGGGGGGATGGGTATTAAAGACCTTAGGATGTTTAATTTAGCGTTGATGGGGAAATGGTGGGGGAGACTAGTTAATGGGCAAGGAGGCTTATAGAGAAGAGTGCTTTTAGATAAATATGGAGGGGAAGGAGGAAGCTGAGGAGAATGGATAACAGAGGGGCAAAACAGGGGATCTAGATGGTGGAAAGATGTTCGCAAAATTAATGAGTTGATTGAGGGGAAACGGGATTGGGTGAAGTCGGGTTTTAAGTTGGTTATAGGAGACAGTGCTAAGGTCTCCTTTTGGAGACAAGTGTGGATGGGATCTCATAGCTTAGATGTAATGTTCCCTCGATTATCTTATCTTTCCATAGATAGACAAAGCACGGTGCAGCAAATGGGAGAATGGATAGGTGGTTCATGGAGATGGAGATTAAAATGGAGGAGAAGATTATCAGCAAGGGAACAGGACCAAGAAACATAGCTTCGAAGCATCATACAAAATGTGCAAATTCGAAAAGACGCTGATGATAGATGGTGGTGGAGATATGAAAAAGACCGTGAATACACAGTAAAATCAGCATACAAGATGCTAACAACAATAGAAGAAGGGGATGAAATCAAATGTCTTAACAGATGCTGGAACTCGACAATCCCATTGAAAATCTGTGCTTTTAGTTGGCTGTCAATGCTTGGATGTACACCCTACAACGTAAACCTCCTGAAGAGGAATATCATTAGACAAGAAGCAGATGCTAAGTGCAGTTTCTGTGTAGAAATAGCAGAAAATGAGAACCACCTACTATTGTGGTGTGATTTTTCAAGAAAAATTTGGAACAAAAATCTTGCATGGTGGGAAATCACGTATGTTATGGCCAAGAGTTGTAAGGATGCTTTTCTCCAACATAGCTGGGTAGGTAGAAACCAAAAAGGGTGGCAGGTGATATGGTATGCTATAATCTAGGCCTTATAGTTAGCTCAGAACCGTAGAATTTTTGAGGCAAAGCAAGTGTCCACTAATAAAGTGTTCCACATGGTACAATACAACTCATACTGCTGGATCAAGAGCAAAATTGAAGGCTAGACATACACTTATGCGGACCGGTGCAATGCTCATAGTAGATGCCAAATGGTAAAAGTTCCAAAACTAAGATTGACAGAATTTGAGTAAAGTGGGATGATATGATGTCTGCAGTAATACCATATGAAGATGTTTTTTACACAGTAGGAGTTTCTCGTGCCAGTGGGTTTGATGATCAGAACAATGAGATATAGAGAAATTGCAAAAGAGGATAGAAACCTGACATGGGTGTGGTGTCGACACATAATTTTGGTGTCGACACCACACGTAAGCATTAGAATTCCGAACATGGTGTTGACACATAATTTTGGTGTTAATACCATATGAAAGGGCTATTCGACTCATGTAAATTTATGCCTTTCAAGTTGAGATGTTTATGAGTTTGGGGTACCCCTTATACTCCGTTTTTTAATAAATATTACTTTTTGCTGTTTAAAAAAAAAAAAACTTGAGTCTTGGTGCCTTCCTATCTCTCTCATCACTCCCTTCTTCCTTTCTATCACTTCATTTAACTCATTTTGTTTACCATTGATGTGTTAAAATCACTCTAACAAGTACACTAATTCTTTTAAGTAATTTAATGATAAGAAAAATGTCAAATCTATGAGAATTGTGATTAACTAAATATAAAAAATAATTAATCTAAACTTATTTGAATATTCAAAAATGAAGAAACTTTAATTAAAAATAATACAAAGGAAATAACAATTACAATAAAACTAATAAAGATCTAAGGTATTGAGGCATTGACTTCACCATAACCAATCAATATAAATTTTAAATTATTATGCTTTCAAGATGTTTACTAAACATGTAATAGTGGAATTTTCTATTCTATTTGGTCTACTTTCTCAAATTATACCAAACCTAACTTTTCTTATTAACTCACTATATTTTTATATGAATTTAAATAGATAAAATTGCGTTATATTATGTAAAATTCCCTAGCTTACATAAAAAATTAAGTTCAATTATTTCCAATGCTGGTCAAATCATGTTATTCATCTCTAACTTTCGTTTAATTCATAGTATATATTATTAGAAGTTATTGTATAAAATCTCAATTTTATTTATGCTCTTCATATCAATTTTAATGGTGATCAAGTATTAAAAATTATTAAGAATAATAATATATACTCATCATAAAATAGAAATTTCAAAAATATAAAAATCATAAAAACCTATATTAAATTGATTAAGTTACATCATAGTCCTAGTTGACTAAATTAATTCATAAAAAAATATTAAAACTTAAAATCATAGTTATAAATATAAAAGTATCAAAAAAGAAATAAAAAATAATTTAAAGAAAAACAAAACTCAACTTGAAGAAATTGAAATTCTTGATTTTTTATTATTGATAAATTCTTCATTTAATCTTCATGAATGCCCAAGGAGGACTACCACCAACCTCTGAAGCCTTTCCAATTCTGAACTTGAATGAGTATTTATAGAATTTTAGAAAACTTAATTGGAATAGACATGGAACTCACACCAAAATAATAAGAGGATTGGCACGTACTTGCTAAAAATCGTATAGGAGATCAACACCCCTAACAAGGTGGCGACACCTTTAGTAAAGCGTTGAATGAAAACTCTTTTGGGTATTCGGATCTGTGCAAGTTAATCCTCTTGTTTCTTATCTCTGTAGTTTGTTCCTAAAAGTTATAATTTCTTTCAATTAAGTGTTTTTCTGTTCAAAGAATAAAAATTATATAAAATCAAATAAAATGTCGTAAAACTCATTTAAATATCAAGAATATTAAAGCAAAAATATCCATATAAATTTAGCTTATCAACTATTTTGCCCTTCAAGCAATATGGAAGCGTACTTTTTTTTTTATTTTATAATTTTGTTGTTAGTTTGGGGTAATTTAGTCTTAAAGGCAAGCAATATGTATTTGTCTTTGTAATTTTTTGTTTATTCAATGGCAATTTGGTCTTTAAAAGTGTCCACACATTTAAAAGAAACAAAGGGATTTCCATTTTTACAATGAGGTGGGCGATGAGGTGATGTTCTCTCAATAAAGAGAAAAGTTGACTTCAAGGTAAGAAAGAGGCTTAAATGTTGACCGTGAGCTTTCCTTTTTGGTACTTCAAGGAGCTATAAATAGGTGAAAGGAAAAATTGATATACAAGAAGGGGAAATGAAGAGATGCCTCACAAGAAGGGGAAATGAAAGTATGGTTGAAGATATGCTCCAAAAGTCCTATATTTTTGAAATATAAGAAATGAGTCCTATATTTTTGGTGAAGCGTACGCTCAATTTAGCCTTTTTGGTTCCAATTATTTAATTTATATATAAATAAATTGTTTAAACATTGCAATCATATGAAACAGAACCAAAAGTTAAATGCAAAGCATGTGAAAGATGAACACTAGATACAAATTTAAGTTTTACTCACCATGCATCTCTTTTAAAAACTCACTAAATTTATTTTCATATCAAATGGCAGAATACAACACCCTGTTATGTAGGGTGTTGACTGCTAATAAATCTAAATATAAGAATTTTGAGTCCTCCCTCCTTCCTATCTCTCTCATCACTCACTTTTTCTTCCTTTTTCTCTTATTTGGTGCCTCTTTTTTTTGTCTCTCTTAGCATTCACTTTTTCTTCCTATCTCTCTCTTATTTAGCCCTCTTACAAGTTACAAGTTCCACTAAAGATTCATTACCTGTCTTTCCTCCATTTTTAATCTCCCAAAGCACTTCAACTTCAAAATGTTGTGGAATCCTTTTTGTCTTTTAACAACCCATCAAAGTTGAATGCCTCATATGCTCCTTTCTTTCTCTCCACTACAAACAAATGTATCTATAGTGACGGAAGTTTTCCACCTGTATACACCCTTTTTTCGTTAGTATAGACTCCTAGGGACTATTTCGACAAAAGAGCTTTCAATTGATAGAAACCTCGTCAATACAGGGTCTATACCAACGCCTAATCCATTTGTATAAACCCTTGGGATCTATTTTGATGGAAGACTTGTCTGTTGGTATAAACACTAAAAAATCTTAAGAGATTTTTCCGTTGGTATAGATCCTTACCTTTGCAAACGAATAACTCCATTGGTCAAAACTCAAACTTCTATCTATATACACCTATAAGCTAAGGATCTATACATACAACTATTTCCATCAATATAGATCCTTTTTTTTTTTCTTTTACCAACCTTAAGGACAACAGTCTGGATCCAAACCAAAACCAAAATCAAAATAAGGTTCAATAAATTTGCCAAGAAAAGCTCTGCAATCCATTCTTTATTGGAATCGCAAAACATAACTACGTGAAAAGAGAGAGCTTGATATCTCCACAGGAGCAATCAGAATGTATTTTTTCATCAAAAAATGTAAACCACAGTAACCATTGCAGTCATCTAGGTACAAAAAGTAGAAATTTCAGTATAGATCTTTAAAAGAAATTATACCTACCAATATTCTAAACACATATTCTTTATTTTCCATCGGTATACCAACAACTAACCTTGAAAAAAAAGACATGGACAACACACATAGCAGTTGTTGATGAGAAAGCATAGGAAGATGGTTCATAGAAGGTTACCATAGCGCAGCTTCTTTAGCTACATAAAGCCACCGTGGAGTTCCAAAATTTGTAGCTTCCCCACAATTAAAACCTAATTTGGAACAAAATAAGATTCTTAATGGAAAATTAAGAACAAGAGGAAGGGCGGAACAAAAAGTGGCTTATTTTAATGGGAAAATAAAGAGACATTCACCCAAACTTTTGTCCGATCTCTAGGTTCTGCTTTAGTTATTGATAAAAATGCAATGAGTATGCATACCTATTGGCTGTTAGAAGTTATAACACCATAGTATCCTTAAAATTCTAGCAGAGGGTAAAAAGTATAAAGAAAATGTAAGCAACTCACGTGGCTAAATCCTGCATTATATGCCCTCAGGGAAGTCACAACAAATTCACCAACATTCTCTATTAACCGAAAGTGAAGAAACCAAAATATATATGAGTAGAACTTCAAGATAGAAAATCAGTACAAGAAGCAAATGCCTTGCACTCTATTCTATATGGGGCAATAACTTTTGGCATAGCTATGCATTTTGAAACCCTTAATGGAACAAGAGACAAGCTAATAGCATGCAACTTACTGAAAGGAATAAGAAAAACACACCTACAAGGAATGCCAGATGCAATAACTAGCTCAGGTGAAAGAAGAGTTGTCTTCTCCCCCAGTAATGAGAGAGCAACAATTAACAAATTTAAAGTTGGTCATGATTTTATTACATAAAATGATTCTAAAGGCCTACTTGTTATATGCATGTCATAAAAAAAAAAAAAAGTATTCTAGTATCATAAAAATAATAACAGCAAGAAGTAAATAAAGTAAAACGAGCATTTACTTTTTTGGATGCCAAGCAATGTTTGCAAACATGAACCCTATAAAGGCGCCTTAATTATAAAACACTTGAAAGGCATGAAATATATATAGAAAAATATCTGAAGATATTTAAGATGTTTATAAGGTAAAACCTAATATGCCAACAAAAATTGTTTCAAGTTCTTCTTAAATTTAGGTCAATTTCTTGTACATTCCACAAGATAGCATACCGTGTATTCTAATTTATCAATCTATATAAAAAATTTCATTCAATTTTAGTTTGACAAAGTTCTTCAATGGCAAAATAGGAGAAATCACAAAACCAGTTAAATATAGCCCGAGAGGGCATAACCCTCATTTCGCCACAAAACAAATAATGAGTTTCGTCAAGGTTAAGGTTGAACATATTTGGGAGCTTCACTCATTTAAGAATTTTAATTTTTCCAGCCAATCAAATAGGTCAGAACTATCAAAAGATTTGAAAATTCAAAATTCACATATTTCATTCATCCTAGAGTAGAGGCAAGAAAGAATAAGAATTCCATTAAAATATATCACTAAACAGCCATGTCAAAGAATGAAATAGAAATAAATCATTGGCTGGATCTAGCATATTATGATGGAGAATAATAGTAGAAACAAACCAAAGAGGCACAGAGTGGCTGAATGGAGCACCCATGTTGGGGTGTTTGTAGCAATTACCTGACTAATCTTATTAATCCAAGTGGAAAAGCTTCGCAAGTTTGGCGAGAAGAAAGACTTTTTCATAGAGATTGGATGCCATAGAGCTATGTTAAGCGTCGATATCAGCGAGGAGTTTCTAATTGGACTGGAAATCTAAATTTGAAACCTTAAGAAATTCCAATTTGCCAATAATTATATTGAAGGAAATGACATTAATGGAAATGACAAAACAAATTATATTGAAGAAATTGAAAGTAGTATTATTGCATTATCAACATTCATTAATAAAATAAGAATATAAGACTGCTAACAAGATCAACAAGACTTTTCATCTTTAGCTAAGCATACAAATAGTGAAATTCACATTAAAGGCATATGACTTTTTATCTCTATATAAATTTGTAAAAATGATAACAAGTTAAATTTCAAGGTAATTAGCATCCATCAATTCTAAAACCAACATCACATCCCTGAGATTCTCCAACAAAAAGAAATTAAGTGCAACAGAGCACATTAGGTAGAACAAAGGCAGAAAAAAAGAAGAAGGAGAGAGTAAATAGATGTTAAAATTAATTCTATCTTTTGCATCAGTTACATAACCTCAAAACCCTATAGGCTAATACATTAAGAACCTGAAATTCATAGTCATCTAAAGATAGAAAAGCAATTAGAAACTTGATAAATGCATAACAAAATTAAAGTGAAAAGGAGATGAACGAACTTTTGTATGAATCTTTCGTAGAAAGAAAAAATCAACTATGCCCCAGCCTTAGCAAATGAATTAGGTGCAGCCTGTAAAATAGAAAAGCAAAGATCAATACAAATAAATATTGTTAAGAAATTCCAAAATTATTTTTAAAAAAGGAAATCTAAGAGAATAGTGGCTATTCCCCTCACTGTTGCCTCCTAACCTAACTGATTGAGCAACCATGAAAGGGGAAAAATAACTAAAACTAAAGACAAGTGAACTCCTATTGACCCATGCTCTCTCTTGGCCACTATAAATCAACTAGCTAAACATTTTAAATAACATAAGGGGAACTCACATGCCCTTAGGGAAAACCACAAAAGAAATTATCAAAATATTCATTCTTTTTAAAAGACAATAAAAAAAATTAGCTTTGAGTAGAGAACTAGTGAAATACCATATATTGAACTTCCCTCTCTGCCTATACTTAAGTCATTGTTAAGATTAAGTCGAATCTCTGGATTTCCTATAAGATAACTCTTCATTTGGATTTTCCCATCAATCTTAGAAGTAAGTATATACCCCTGCACAAAAATATATATTTATTATATATTAATTAAACCAAAAGGACATACTTTTATGTAAACATAAACCCAAAAGGAAAGGGAAAAGAATAAAATAAAAAGATGAATAATATTTGATATGACACAAATAATAAATAAATAGTGACAAATTAAAAGAATCCCAATTATTAAGAAGCAATATGAATGAAATGAGAGACCGGTGCTAAGCCTGAGGGTAATAGAAAAATGATGGCCACAATGTTTAGTCAAATAAATGAAGGTACTCACACTTGAGCTAAACGTAACACTTATTTTCTCTATTATGTTGACAAATATTTCCTCTTTCTTCCTACCTCCAGGCTCATTTGCAACAACAAATTTTCTAATAGCAGTCCCTGGCACTTTGGTCCCTTACTACAAACATGATTGCAAGAAATCAACTTCCACTTGTATCCCCCTTTTTTTTTTTTTTCATTCAACATAAATATCAGAATGCCACAAAGAATAAATTATTTCTCAAGTATTTAACTACACTCATGCTTGACACACTTCCCAAATCCAAACTAGAATGCAAACTACCTATGAAAATATATTCAGATCTTTCATCCCATAATGCAGATTCATCCCCAAAATCTTTCTTAATTCGTCTTGCTGTAGGCTTGACCCATTGGCGATGATTGTTTTTAATTATATGAAGATTCTTAAACTTTAACAAGAAACTCATCAGAGCGCTTTCCTTTGTATAGGAGGCTCTTGCCTCAATTCTTAAACATAGATAAATAGAGAGTAATGATGCTTTGCAAAAGTTGTAAGATCACAAGAGGTACAATTTAAGCAAAGGAAAACTTCATTGTAGACCACTTTCTCATAAATCTTGATAGAATGCTCTAGATCACCAACATGAAGCATTAGCTGGCAAAGTGGCTCAGGAGTATTTTCTCTTTGGATAAGCTAAAAAATGTAACCATTAGGATCCTTCAAGAAGGAAATGACAATTGATCCACCTTTGACAGGACTAGGCTCCCTAATGATATTGCCACCATTGGCACAAACGCCTTCGACCAATTTGTATACCTGTCCATGGAAGGCGCAAGTAATTTTCAGCACTTAAGACAACCACTTGCTTTGAATTTTCCAATACTGAGAAACTTACATCTGGTGTAGCAATTGCAAATTGCCCAAAACCAGTTCCAATATCATATAAAGGTACTCCATAATCTGTAAAGAACAAGCAAGGTAATTCTCATAAATCAGAAGGGTCCATGGAAATCAAATTTGAGTGGTAATTATTATTTTATAAGAAAAACTCTTTACCAGGGTGAGGGTCACATTCCTTCATTTATATAATAAAATTACCCTTAACCTAAAAACACTACACCTCACTCTTTCTAGTAAAGGGCACCTTACTACAAATCAATTAACCAATCTCTAATAATTTAAGATGTAAAGTGCGGTGGCATAAAACTCAAAAAAAAAAAAAAACTATTTTTTAATAAGTATAACATCAATCTTGTTGACTAGTACGAAACATATCTCACCATGTATGATCTCTCTCAAAATCTATAGTAGACCATATAGATTAACTAGACTGCAATATAACTTTTCGATCCAAATACATATTAAAGAACTCCTAACATGGAACAATTCATAGAAAAATGAGAATCATAGAAACAGCTAGAATCATACTGCATGTTAACTCCACGAAGAAATTAGTTTCCTCCAGTCCAAATCCAAGGAAGGTGTTGGAGTACTTCTCCTTCGGAATATCTCTTTTCCTCAAAAACTTCATCCCGAAACACTCAGTGTAAAACCTAACAACACATTATTTGAAGAAAAACATAAGAACATAAACGCAGTTCCAGACAAACATACTTGATGGTGGACCACGGTTTGGTATGCGGGCAGCATCAATGATAATTAATTCATTAAATACATATTCTAGACATAAATACCTCAATTCATGGAATTTGTAGCCATAATTTTACAAAGAAGAAGAAATAAATCTACACAAAGATCATAATTTATAAAATAAAAAAAAAAGTTTACTCGCACATAGATCAATTAAAAGAATTCATTTACTTAAAAATAGATAGAAAGAATGATTACCTTAGCAGTACTATCCAAGCCTCACCTTCACAAATTGAATTAAACTAAGGCAGCAACATCTAAAAAGGAAGAACTGCTCTATGACAATCTTTATGAATATATATAAATAAAGAAAATCTCTTACTTTTAAAGACATTGTCGAAGACAGTTAGATTTCAAACCAAAAATAAACGAACTAAATTAGACTAGTTCTTGTAATAAATTAACTAGAATCTTTATATGGAAGAGGAAAAAATAATCAAAATAGGTTTCACAATATCAAATGATAAAAAATTTTCATATACTACATCAAATGTAGATCTAGAACATCTTCCTATTTAGAATCAATTTTTTCTTATACAAATGGTGCAGGACATATGCTTTAATAATTGTAGTTTATATAAAGATTTTTTCCTTGGAAATGAATTTTGGTGAAGGTTAGAATCAAACTAGATTTTGGAGAGGGAAATATTTAGGTTTAGTTAGGGAGTGGAACTCGGAATGTAGGGAGGGAAAATTGGCAATATGTGGAGGAAAGTGAAAATAAGGACCGCTAGCTAAAATTAAAGAGGAAAAAATTGGGTTTAACAAATAGTGAATTATACAAACAAAACATAGTAATCCATGTGTATAGATATATTTATACAAGCAGAACATGATTACCATTAGAAGAGATACTCTCTATACAGATGGATAATACGGTTTTCCTTGGTATAAAGCTATCCTATACTAACGGATATAATTTTCTGTTTGTATAAATCTAACCTATACTAATGAATATATTTTTTTGTTGGTATGAACCAGTCTATATAAACGGATTACTGTCTGTTAGTATAAACTGCCGTTAGTATAGGGCATTTTGTTTGTAGTGCTCTTAATTGATGCCTTGTTAGTTATTATAATTTTTCACCTAACATATCTTTCCAAATCCATCATCAAAGTTACTTTTTTAACCCCCTTACTTATCTAACAAACCACTTTTTGTTGATCTAGCTAAATTTTCCTTTAAACAATGATTGGTGCACATTTTAATTCAACACACTTCAAAAATACTTATTAAGAATAATTATTTTCAAATTTGAATTCAAAGCAGGAAAAATTTCACTTACAAAATTTAATGGCTAAACTGATGAAAGTTGATAGATGTGTTCAACTAGAGGAAATACCAATCAATACCCTTCCCTTTTGTATTTAAGTGTAAGATTATTTTATATAACCTTTTTCTTCCTGTCACGCCCCAAAACACAATTTTGAGACGCGACAGACGCCGTGCACTCGTGAGAGGGTCCCACAAATGCACAAGGTTCGAAACTTATCACACTGAACTCTGATACCACCAAAATCCGAAGATCAAATCTTTAAAATCTCTCTGATATCATAAATCTCCAAGTACACTCTAGCTTATAAGATCATGATTTCTAGAATCTATATCAATCTCAAAATGGCTAGCCTTCTAACTCGTCACTTCCCGTGGTTTCCCCGTCCTCGGTTTCACTTCCTAAAATGGTGGACAAGGAAAAACTATGAGATAAACTCAGTAAGTAAAATATGGAGTGCCCTTAATTAAACTTAAAGCATGCCAACAAGTACAATCACGAAAACAGATACAGTACGGGCACGAAATAGACGTCTCCTCTATAGGTCACGGCTAATGTATAATCCCCACTAGCAGGGCCACGATTTGCTGGTGTATAACCCCCACTAGCTGGGTTGAACGAACCGGCTCTATCACTACATGTCGACATGTGCTAGCGTTTATAACCTCCCCCACTAGCAGGGTCATGAATAACATGACCACATCGGAGACAAAACAAGCAGAAGTTAACAGGAAAATCACAATTCACAATCACTTTCAAGTCACTTTCAGATCATCAGGACATTCACTTAAATTTCAAGTAGGCATGCTCAATTTAGTGAAAAGCATAAAACATTTCACTTCAAATCAGTCATACTTCTGTAAAACGGGTTTAGTCCCGCCACCACTTCAAAAACAAATCAAAACATGCTTTTAAAAATCAAAGGGCGTTACCATAATTTACTTACCTCACTTGCATAAAACCGAGCACTCAATTCACGTACTAACTGACAGAACGATCAAGAACCTAATCAACAATCCGAGAATCAATACCATACTATCACAAATTCACACTGAAATCATTAGGATCATTCCTAATCACAATGCTATTTCCATAAATCTCCACATGATCCATTATCTCCAAATTCGTTCTTATATCACAAACTAATCACTTAAATTCCCGTTAAATGTTGGCCCTCGGGGTGTGAACAGTGTCCATGAACAGTACCCATGAACAGTACCACTACGTGAACAGTAACCCCGACTTTCACAAATTGGCCAAAACACTAGCTAATT